AAAAATCAAAAAAAATCGTAAAATTTCCTTTAGTCCCGGTTTGTGTTACCAACCGGGACTAAAGGTGGAGCTCCACGTGTCCGCGCCCTTTAGTCCCGGTTCTGGATTGAACTGAGACTAAAGGGATAGGCATTAGTACCGACCCTTTAGTCCCGGTTCCAGAACCGGGACAACAGGCCCTTTTTCTACCAGTGACTCTCTGCGAGTTATTTACTCGAAACCACCACATTATGGGTTAGGGTAACAGATCGGTACCACATTTGAGGCAGTTCACAAAAAAACACCAACAATGGGGCTAATCTGTAACGCGGAGCACTGACGCTGCGTTTTAGCCCAGAAAACAGCGAATCCGATAGGTGGGTCCCGCCTGTCAGGCTGACGTGGCGCGTGTTAAGTTGCCATCAGCAAAAAGACTACTTTTAGGGATGACACAAGTCTGTTTTGGAGTTAGTCCAGCATATATTTATGCATTTGCTCAAGGCAGCAACTAAAATTGCACATCAACTGCTAAGTACTCCCCCCGTTCCGAATTATTTGTCACAGGTATAGATGTACCTATATATATTTTCGTTCTAGATATATCCATTTCCGCGATGAGTAATTTGGAACGGAGGGAGTAATTGGTCGTGATAGTTGGAGCAGGGTGCCAACAGTAGTGGAGAAAGTTGCATGTCAACTACTAGGTAGTTGGTCGTAGCAGCAGAAGAAGGTACACATCTCACTAGCATAGTACTTGATAGGGGTGCTAGCAAGGAAAATTGCACATCCACGAGTAGGGGAGGCTAAGTTGCACAAGAGAGAGAGCGCCGGCTTCCTCTCGACCCACCATTACCACAACCATGACGGAGATGTACCTGCAGGAGAAGATGTCAATATCCAAGAAGAAGAAGAAGAAGAAGAAGAAGAAGAAGAAGAAGAAGAAGAAGAAGAAGAAGAAGAAGAAGAAGGTATAGTCCAGTTAGATCTGCACATATACTCCAAATAAACATATCCTAATGTAAACATGATCATCAGTGCTCCAAATAAAGTGCAGTCCTAGATTATTACCAGGGGACCGAAATACAGTAAACCTAACATATCCTGAAGTAATTATGCACCATAATTTATTCAGTTACTACAGCAACTACTGGAGGTTTTGCAAATTTCAAGTTTCTTGTTTGCAAGTTTCAGTACTCCAAATAAACATATCATGGGAGACAGCAAGTAGTTTGAGTAGTCAACTACAGTTTCCTTAAACTGAATTTAGTGAACTTTTACTTCTAGGACTGAACAAATACTCCAAAAATTTAGCTGAGCACTTATAAATTTGCACATACTCCAGGAGTACAAACTTGTTGCGAACTTACAAGTAAAGCTAGGAATATCTGTGCAAGTTAAGCCACATCAGATATTGCACTTACAGTAAAAAATTATGCTACTCCAGCATATTGCAGTTAAAGTAACTACTCAAGAGTACTGGGGCATTGGAGTAACTTGCACTATACTCCAGGATATTGCACTTACAGTAAAGCCACTAACAGTAATATACTGCAAGTTCAGTATACAGTACAGTAAATTACTTGTACAACTACTACTCCTACTGTTGCTGCTACTTTAAATGGACAAACAATTGGTACTACAATACACCTCTGCTACAACAGAGGGGGTACTTCTTAGCTAAATGCAGCTTTGCTATTTCTCAAGACACAGATTGGTGCTACAACAATTGGCTAACATCTGGAACATTATATCATGCATTTTTGCCTTGTACTGTGTTCTGAATGATTAAAGCTATATGTGATCAGTGCAATGGTTACTTGCATGACTTCAAGCTACTGACACTGTAAGCCCTGAAACCATGCATCATCGACCCATGATGATCTTGAAAATTCTTTTTCCCGATATTTTTGACCCTCCTTTATTCCCATAAAGCTGCGCAATTCAAGTCCCTATTTGGATGCTTTAAGCTTTGGGAATCGAAATGTTTTCAAAGACTGTCAAGCTACTATTGTTTCCCCCCTTTTCCTTTCTTACTTTTCATGAAACCAAAGTTTCAGTCAAGAATCTTCGAACAGATGATTACTATAGACCCTCACATGACAAAATTGCCTCAAGTAATACAAAAAGCTGTGTAGTAGTACTGCTAGTACACATTTCAGCATGAACAAGAACTAGTGTAAAGGAGATGACAATGGATGGTGGCTGAAGATTACCAGGAGATTACAAAGGGCCAAAGCCATGATGGAGATGACTATTACATTGGACAGCACAAACCCCTAGATGATGGTACGTAGTAGCATATGATCAAACCCTATACACCTTTGATGAAAAGAAAAGAAGATATAGTAGAAAAGAAGATGAGAATTAGGGGAAAAACAAAGTTACATGTTTATTGCTCTTCCCCATCCCCTGTCACCCTCACTGTCGATCTACCCAAGAAACTGTAGAATGCTAGCCCCAATTAGTAGTAGTGCTGTAATTCGGTCCTGAGTACTCTGTAGTAGCAACGTCAATTTGCTGCATGATTTGTTCTGCCGGACTTAGTTCAGCAGGTCCGGGAACAGCTTGTAGCAGTTGGGCCCCTTGTCCGGCTCCGGCGCCGACGAGGACGACGCCGACGACGGCGAGGGCTGGGTGGACGCGTGGCGGGGGAACTCGGACAGCATCTGCACCACCTCCCTCATGGTCGGGCGCTCCACGCTGTTCTCCTGGACGCAGAGCATGGACACGAAGAAGAGGTGGGACACCTCGTCCATGGGCACCGTGCTGAGCCGGCGGTCGACGACCTTGGGCACGCTCTCCCGCCGGCCGTCGGTGACCCGCTTCGCCCACTGCACGATGTCCACCCCTTCCCCGAAGTCCCCCACCGGCCGCCGGCCGGTGACGAGCTCCAGCAGGACGACGCCGAAGCTGTACACGTCGCTCTTCTCGTCCACTCTCAGGGTGTACGCGTACTCTGCAAACAAACACGGCCACAATCAGCATGCCTGCTAATCACATCATCATGGCAACATTTCAACTAGTGTAACTTCTCTTCTCGTCAAAGAACACAATGATTAAATCAATGGGTAGTAAAAGAGAAAGCTATGGACGTAAACCTAGGAGGAGTGTTCTCAACGTGCACCACCGCACTGATCAGTATAAGATAATAATACTACTAGCCTGATCTCAAATCTAAGCGCGATCGTTATAAATTATGTTCAAAACCTAGCGTACGCTAGGATGGCGAGCTTGGCATGCTAGGAAAAGCGAGCCTGTGCTACGGTGCTGATTTGAATAGTACAGAAACTGGCTATGTGCGCCTAGGACAGAGGCGAGTGCGTACAACATTCTGCGACGAATCCCAAGAGAAACCGCCTACCCTACCCTTTGCAGATCCACCGGAATCTTTCCCATACATACGCGCATAGTATATTCTATCGACCAAGTTCGTCAAATCCAAGGAAAATTCTTCGCCGGGATCAAGAAGAGGAGCTCTGTCAGTTAATCCAGCCCATGCCTGCCCTGAGATCTTGCCAAATCCCAAACCCGGAAGAGCAGAAAGGAAAAGCAGAGAGAGAGGGAGAGAGGGGAAAACTTATACTACAAACTTCGTGACCGTAACAGTGAGGGCGCCCGTGCCGTTCGAAAGGGTAGGAACAGCGTGCCGGGGGCGCCCCGGCTTTGGCTTTGGCGACGTAACGGCGGCAAAGCGGGAGGCTGCTTTGGCGAGGCCCCAGGAGCGGGACGGAGGAGGAGGATGACGAGGCTTTTTTTTACCGGAGTGAGTGAGTGTGTCCCATGCCGGTCAAAGATACAGCAGCGCAACCGAGTCGATCCTGACCTAAAGGGCCGTGCCGGGCTGGACCAGCCGGTACTGGTACCCAGTAATACCTACCGTGTCATACGGGAGGTCCGTATCCTACTGCTACAGACCTCACCAGGCTGACGAAGCCTCGTACTACCACTACGAGAAAATTACCGAGTCAGAGGGATACGGGTGACGAGAAGATCGGGCGGGCTCAAACTCAAACCCCCTTTTGCCATGCCCGATGCTGCTGCTCTGGCGCACGCACTGGCCCGGCCTGACACGACGCGGCCCACACTGCGCGCTGTGGTACACGGGAGGTCTCGGCTCATGCACTGCATGGCACGGAGTTTTTGTTTGGCATACACGACGCATGGCATGGCCGTGTCGGGTTCGCGACTTGTGTTGGCCAGCGTGCGGCCGGCGTCCGGGCGCGCCCACAAGGCGGCATCGTGTGGTCGCAATCGCGCCGGGTCGGGGGCCCGCGGGAAAATAATTGGGTGCTCGAGTGCGAGCCTGAGCAGAGCACCCCTTTTCGGCCGCTTTCGCCGAGGGCCCGCCGGCGCCCGCAGTGCTGCTGGCCGCTGCTGATGTGGTGTAAAGTCAGACCGGATCGGATGGCCTTCTACTGCCACTGCGTGTCATGTGCATACACAGAGCCGGACCGGACCGGACCGGACGGGCAGCCGCAGCTCAGCTCGGGTCGGGTCGGCGCTCAAAGTAGCCCTCCGCCATGCCCTCCCGTCCCCCCATTTCAAAACTACACACCTTGTTTCTCCTCCTGACATATTCTTACTAAGGATTTGAAATGTAAAAACATCCTAGTATACAGCTTGATTTCGAGGTGTAAACGTACTGGGAGGGACCAAAAGTTTCCGTGCGATTGATCTGAAACAGTGAGGCAGTGAGCTACTCCTACACTCACTGTGGCTCTGCGCCTGCGGTCTGGGCAGACAATGAGACATAGTAGTACTACTAACCACTATCACTATCTGCGTGCATGTGGTCAATCGTACGTGAAGGTTTTTAACTCGCGACAAACCTAATCAGGCGCTCACTTGTCCTGGCGCAGTACCACCACTGGCTATTGACTTCGGAAGAGCGGGTCCCACGGCCCAGAGACGGGGGCCAGCCCCGTGCAAGGCGGCGACAAGCAGACGAGCTCGGAAAACCGATGGATCCTAAACCAAATCTGATTGACCCCTCATCGGCAGGCACGCAAGGCGATAAGCGACTAGAGACAAAACACCAGCACATGTGTATGTAACGAGACGTGTTCGTACGTACCTGGCGCGATGTAGCCGTAGGACCCGGCGACGGCGGACATGCACTCGGACGCGCCGGCGCCGGAGCGGAGGAACTTGGCCAGCCCGAAGTCCGCCACGTGGGCCTCCAGGCCGTCGCCGAGGAGGATGTTGTTGGACTTGACGTCCCGGTGCACGATCATCGGGCTGCAGTCGTGGTGCAGGTAGCAGAGCCCGCGCGCCGCCTCCAGCGCGATCCGGTACCGCCGGTCCCACGCCAGGAACCCGCCGCCCTTGCCGTGGAGCACCTCGCCGAGGCTGCCGCCGCCCATGTACTCGTACACCAGCACGTTCGCCTCCTGGTCGTTGGTGCAGAAGGCTAGCAGCCGCACGATGTTCCGGTGTCGGATGCTGCCCAGCGTCCGGATCTCCGCGCGGAACCCGTGGTCGTGCCGCCCGCCGCCGTTCAGACGCTTCACGGCGATCGCGCCGCCCGACCGGGCTCGTCCCGCGTACACCACGCCGGCGCCGCCGCGGCCCACCACGTTGCCGTCCTTCATGCACTCGATCACCTCCGCGATGCCGAAGTCCACCTTGTGGAACGCCGTGAACCGCCACGCGCCGTCCGGCCCGCCGCCGGGGTACGACCGAGCGCGCAGCACGGCCGCCGCGGCGAAGATCACCGAGCACGCCAGCAGACCCAGCGCGAACACCAGCTTGTAGTCCCCCGCCGTCGCCCGCCGCGGGCTCACGGCCGTCGACCCGCCGGCGTCGCTGCTGATGTTGCAGGGCCGGTTCAGCACCGGCCCGCACAGCCTCGGGTTGCCCGCGAACGCCGTCTCGTTCAGGTACCGCAGCTGGCCCGTGTCCGGCAGCTGGCCGGACAGGTCGTTGTAGGAGAAGTCGGCCGCCGTGAGGCTGCTCATCGCCCCGATCGCGGCGGGGATCGACTCCTCGAGCTGGTTCCTCGACAGGTTGAGGTAATTCAGCACCCGTATCCCGGCGATGGCCTCCGGGATCGGCCCAGACAGCTTGTTGGTGCTGAGGTCAATGTACGTGAGCTGCCCGCACCGGCCGATGGCCTCCGGTATCGGCCCGGACAACTCATTGCCGCTGAGGTCGAGCTTCACGAGCAGCCGGAGCTCCCCTACCTCCGGCGGCACGGCGCCGGCGAGACGGTTGTTGCTGACCAGCAGCGTCTGCAGAGCGGAGAGGTTGGCCAGCGCGGCAGGCAGCGGCCCGGACAGCAGGTTGTTGGACAGGTTGAGCTGGGCCAGCTGCGACTCCGAACCGGTCAGGGTCGGGCTCGGGTTCGACGGGACCGGACCGGAGAGCAGGTTGTTCTGCAGCTCCAGCAGGTTGAGCCGCGGGAGGTAGAGGAAGCCGGCGGGAATGCTGCCGTTGAGGTAGTTGTGGCCGAACCGGACCCGGGTGAGGCTCGCGCACGAGCCGAGCGCCCCGGGGATGGGGCCGAAGAGGAAGTTGTTCATGAGGATGGCGGTGTGCAGCTCGCCGGAGGAGCACAGCATCTCGGGGATCATGCCGGTGAGCCGGTTCGACGACAGGTCGACGAGCCGGAGCGCCGCGCTGGCGCCGAGGCCCGCCGGGACGCGGCCGGTCAAGTTGTTCATGAAGAGCTGCAGCGTCTCCAGCCGCGGCATCGCAGCGACGAAGTCGGGGACCGGGCCGTGGAGCCGGTTGAGGAACAGGTTGAGCAGCCGGAGCGAGGTGAGGGACGCCAGGGTGCTCGGCACCTCGCCGGTGAGCGCGTTGTTGGACAGGTCCAGCCTGGTGAGCGCCGTGAGGTTGCCGAGCTCCGGCGGGATTTCGCCGGTCAGCTGGTTCGTGTGGAGGAACAGCGTGTCGAGGGAGGCCAGCTCGCCCAGCTCCGACGGGATGCTCCCGGTGAGGCCGCAGTTGGAGACGTCCAGCATGGTGAGGTTGCGCAGCCGGCCGAGCTCCGGCGGGATGCCGCCGTCGAATGCGTTGTAGTACCCGAGATACAGCTCCCTGAGGCTCGTCAGGTTGCCGAGCTCCGGCGGGATGGCGCCCTGCAGGTTGTTGCCGTTGAGGGACAGGTACTCCAGAGCCAGCATCCCGCCGTACGACGCGGGTATCACCCCGGAGAAGTAATTGCCGCCGAGGTCAAGGTATCGGAGCCGCGGCAGCGCCGTCACGCCGGCCGGGAGCGAGGAGGAGAAGTTGTTGTCGTAGGCGTCGAACACCTCGAGGCTGGGGAGCGACGGGAAGTCCCAGCCGTCGAGGCCGCCGCCGAGCTGGTTGCCGGAAACATTGACGTAGCGGAGCTCCGGGAGCGCGGACACGGCCACCGCGCCCACGATGCCGTTCCCGGCGAGGGAGAGGCTCGCGAGCGCGGCGAGCCCAGTCACCTCGGCCGTGATGGGCGCGCCAGTGGACACGTTCATGTTGGCGATGTCGACGGAGACGACCCTGCCGCCGGCGCAGCGGACGCCGGTCCACTCGCACACGGAGGCGACATTGCCCGGCAGCCACGAGCGCAGCACGTGGGGGCGGCAGCTGAGGGAGGCCTTGAGGGAGAGCAAGGCCAGCGCATCTCCATGCAACGCCTCGCCGTGTCCATAGCCATCGACACTACCGATGGATAGTGGTAGAAGAAAAATCAAGGAGAGCAAGACAAAAGGATGGAGAGCCTTCATCTGGCCTACAATTCTTGCGGCTTGCGAACTGTGGTGAGAAACTAGCTAGAATACGCAGCCATTGGCAATGCCATTGCTGCTGTTTCAGTGAGCTTATAGACACTTGGAGTGACGGATGGATGGATGGATGTTGAGATGGTAGAGAGGTAGATGGGTAGATAGAGGGAACGGCAAAGGCATGCAAGAATCTTGAGAAGCTTCACATGAAAATGGCGGCGAGAGGCGTGAGCTTCACACCGAAGGTGAAGGGGAGGGGAATATGTTCTCTGTGTGACAAGAATGGCTTTGTCTTTTGAGCTATTTATGCCTTGTGGGAGAAGGGTGTCCGGTGCATCGGGCGGGCTCTGCTTTGGGTGTCTCTGTGTTCTATCTTCTCCTCCTCCTCTCTCTGGTCCTCTTCATCTCTCTCTCCATTGCTTCTCTTTTTGCTTTATCTTTCGGAGCAGAGAAACTAACTGTTAAAGGCTTGTAGTGGGCGAGGAAGCAGCCGTGGCAAGTGATGGGGAGTTTCCAGCTTTGGCGTTTTTTATCAACAAATTGTTCCATTGGCTTTGGGGAGTATTTAGAAAGGCTTCGGGCAATTATGGCATGGCGCCCGACAGAGAAAGGGAAATGCACTCTGGTCTCCGTCCGACTACAGGGCCCGTGATTGAATTTGGGCAATGATGAAAGAGAGCAATCAAACTACTCCAGTGTGTTCGATATGTGTATGTGTGCCATCCGATAGGTTCCGGGCTACAAGGAGGAAAGAAGGTTTTGGCCAAGTCATATTTTTTGGGTTCTTCCATGATACTCAGCTTACATCGTATGCCATGTGGTTTTTGGTAAGCAACTCTTAACTAATTGCCGAAACTTAACCCCCAAAACCCACTCTTAAAGTTTAACACCTACAAAACCCTAGGCATTATGAGGGTGAAATCTAAACCATCCTGATAATTGCAACTTCAATAATTTCTATAGAAATGGCAAATGGCTCCACCATTTTTCGATAAAGGATGCTTTATTGCTTAAAAGGTTTAAGCATTACACCCGGCCTCTGTGTAACCGAGATGCACACAGCCAAACAAGTCCAAGATCCAAAAACTAAAAAAAAAGTTGGAATACAAGTAGTCATGGAGAGACTGCATAACGCCTAAGACGTGGGAGGGCCAATCCGAAGATCATGCTGTCATACATGTCGGGTAAAAGTATCCCTGAAAGTGCTAGTTATCGACTAGAGGGGGGTGAATAGGCGATTTTTATGAAAGCCTTCAAAACACGAGGTCTTTGAAGACAGACAGTAGAAATGAACCTATTAATATGCAGCGGAAGGTAAACTACACTACACTAGACAAGCCATAGTCAAGTAATCAATGAAGTAAAAGTACGAAGACTATCAACAGCTAGGTAGTATGGATCGGGATGAAAGACAGTATGAAGCCAACAGTAAATAGTCTTCACTCAGTTAAGTCAATCAGATCAGAGAAGCAGACAATGACTTCACGAAGACAAACTATAAAGTAAAGGGAAGTGAAAGATAGAACCAGTTGCTTGGTGAAGACAATGATTTGGTAGACCAGTTCTAGTTGCTGCGACAACTGTACGTCTGGTTAGGGAGGCTGAGATTTAATTCAGAAGACCGCGTCTTCACCTTAGTCCCCTTGAGCTAAGGACACCCAGTCCTCGCCCAATCACTCTGGTAAGTCTTCAAGCTAGACTTCCAAACCTTCACAGACTTCGTTCACTAGCGATCCACAATGGCTCTTGGATGCTCAGAACGTGACGTCTGACCGGCTGGAGGATTCACAGTCCTCAAGTGTAACAAGTCTTCAGGTCACGCGGACAAAAAGACTTCAGTGATGCCTAACACTCTTTGGCTCTAGGTGTTTTGGGCTTTGGCCTCGCAAGGATTTCTCTCTCAAATGCTTCGGAGGTGGGTTGCTCTCAAACGACAAAAGCCGTGCACTGACTCTGAGCAGCCGCCAATTTATGGTGTAGGGGGTGGGCTATTTATAGACAGGAGGCAACCTGGCCTGATTTGTTCGGAATGACCCTGGGTCACTAAGGAACCGACACGTGTCCAATGGTCGGATTTCAAACACACGCGGCAGCTTGATTTGGGCTACAAGTAAAGCTGACTCATCCAACTCTGGATAAGATTTGCTCTCATTGTCTACGTTCAAAGACATAGGATTTTGGTTTAGCATCACATCAGTCACTCTGACTTTGTTCACTTGGACCCCACTTAACAGTACGACGGTTCCTATGACTCAACAAAGAAGAAAAGGAAACTACGAAACAACTATGTCTTCACACTCCATAGTCTTCACATGAATGTCTTCTCATGTTATAATCTTCACCGTGAATGTCTTCTCGAACCACCATTGTCTTCAATGTCTTCACACATTTTTAGGGGTCATCTCTGGTAGGTAAACCGAATCAATAAGGGACTACTACATGTGTTATCCTGCAATTCTCACAAACACATTAGTCCCTCAACCAAGTTTGTCGTCAATACTCCAAACCAACTAGGGGTGGCACTAGATGCACTTACAATCTTCCCCTTTTTGGTGACTGATGACAAACTGGTTAAAGTTTTCAATGGGGATAAAAGTATGTGAGAGTTAAGGACAAAGGCATTGTCTTCATAAGTTGCAAAAGGCTCCCCTAGAAGATGTGCATATAAGTAGTTTGCTTTCGAATGCAAGTGCACATGGCAGGTATTACTTTGTGGATATCCTCTTCAACTTACGAAGACAATTTATCATGCATATATGAGAATAGCGACGATAATGACATGCATAATGAAAAATGGACGTCTGCAGAATGACATCATGCGGAATTTATCGTTGCATCACAAAGTAGCAGTAAAAGGTAGCAGACGACCAGAGTTTAAGTGTTACAACTCAAAATCCAAATAGTTTCAAAACAAGAGTTGGAAGAACTTAGCAAAAATAATGCAACCACCCATAGGGACCCGCTTGAAGACTGTCAACCTCATATGCTTCTCCCCCTTTTGTCAGTAAAGACCAAAAAGGTTTGAAGACATAAAGGATGGAGCTACTCGTTCCCACTTGGAGTAGAGGATGGAGCAGGGTCGTCATTGGAGTTTGGTGGTGCTGAAGGGCCTAACACAGAATCGTGATGCAGTGCAGCTAAGGTTGGTGAAGTGGCGTCGTCTTCTTCGTCGATGACTCCCACAACAACAGTTGCAGCCGAAGATGAATGCTCAGAATCTTCGATAGAGGGAGTGTGCCACTAGCTTGCATTTCGAGGAGGCCCGGAGTCAAACTTGAAGTTCTCTGTGAAGCCATCTGCGCGCAGATCATCTTCAGAACATAGCAATGTGAGGCTCTTTTAGGACCGCCGACAGGCTTCATGTGCAACAAATGTGTTTTTGGTGGCCAAGTTAAGAATACGATTGACATCCACCAAGAGACTTTGCATCTGACGCTTCAGCCAGTCATGATGCTTATCCCGCTTTGGATGCAAAGCCACCAGAAGCTCTCGGTCATTGAGTACACGAGGACGCTTCTGAGGCCTTTGAGCAATTGTGCTTGCAGTGGCTTCAGGGTTGGCTCGGAGAGGTGTGCATATGTTGCCAGCTAGAGGGTATGCAGGAGTTGCAGCATTGGGCACATGAATCCCTTTAATAAACTGCGTGAAGCTCCGGAACTCTGCATTCTAAGGGCATCTCCAGCCGTTTGCCCCTCAGGGGGCGCCTAAAATCACCGCCTGGGGGTGAGCCGGCGCAAAAATTGGGCCTGGGGGCGAGTTGGTCCCCAGCCGCCAGCCCCAGGGCGCCCCCAGGCACGTTTTAAAATAAAAGAAGTTCGGCAAAGTTCGGCTTAAACACGATAAAATTCGGCCAAACACGATAAATTTCGGCACATTTCGGCGAAGTTCGTGGATTTTCATTACATAGCACATATACATAAACTAATCTAAAGGAAAAATTGGCTGAAGTCGCCGCCGTCGCCGCCATCGTCGTCGTCGGCCTTCTCCTCCTTGACGCGGGCGCCCCTGCTGGACCCCTGCCCGGCGTCGCCATGGCGGACTGGTGGCGGCGCATCGTCGTCGTCGTCGTCGCTGTCGCAGATGACGATGACTCCGCCTTCGTCGCGGCCACGTCGACGCTCCGCGAAGCGAAGCAGGGCGGCGCGCTGGCGCTCCTTCGCCTTCTCCAGGCGCTCCTTCTCCATCGCTATGGAGTCCCTGCGCGCCCATTCCAGGGCCGCGTCGTCGTCGTCGAGCTCCGTCGTCATCGGCGCGACGGACTCCTTCTTCACCGGCGCGAGCCCCGGCTCCTTCTTCACCGGCGCGAGCCCCGGCTCCGTCTTTGGCTTGATGAAGCGCGGAGGAGGAGCCGACGAGTAGGCGCGCCGGCCGCCCTCGTTGATGACAATGCCGGCGTTGCGAGTGCGCCGACCGAGCGGCGTCTCCACCGCGGGCTCGGCCTTGACGCCGAGCAGGGCCGGAGTGCCGGAGGAGTGCGATGAAGATCGGGAGGAGTAAGAAGAGGAGGAGGACCCGAGGAAGAAGAGGAGGAGGACCCAAACCTCCTTGGCGCCCATGGCCCGGCGCGTCGGTGCTGCACCGGGGCGGCCGCCCTTGTCGGGTACGCCAACGGCGGGTCGTTGCCGCCCTCGAGGTACGTCAGCACGCCCTCGAGTGTGCAGCCGGGGACGCCCCACCACAGGTGGCGCCCCTCGCTATTCTGCCGGCCGCCGACCACCGGCGCGCCATTGGTGGACGCCAAGCGCTGCTGCTGGCGGCGCTCGAAATACACCGCCCAAGCCACGTGGTTGTCGGCGGCATACTGGGGGAGGGAGAGTTGGGCGTCGGTGAGGGAGGCGCACATGACCTCGACTTCCTCGGCGAAGTACTTCGGCTTCGCCATGGCGTCGAGCAACGGGGGAATGGGCACTCCCCCGGCGCTGAGCCTCCACCCCGTCGGCCCGGCGCACATGCCCGGCGGCACCGGGATGTTCGCCTGGAACAGGAGCCAGGACTCCTGTTCG